CTTTCCTCCGCGATGAGATTGCGCGCGGCGAGTTTGGGTCGCCACCGAACGAGTTTCTCCTGCACTCGCTCCGCCCCAAGCACTGGTTCTCGGGCCACATGCACGTCAAGTTTGCCGCCATCGTGCGCCATAGCGACGAGGCCATGACCAAGTTCTTGGCCCTCGACAAGTGCTTGCCGCACCGCGACTTTATGCAGGTGACCGACATTGCGCCGAGCTCGCCGTTTCGTGGCAGCGACGACGGCAGTGTTACCCTCTCGATGGACAAGGACTGGCTCGCGGTGCTTCGCGCGACCCACCACATTGCCTCCAGCGTCCGCCTTCGCCCGCGCGTGCCCGAAGACGACATGGCGATTGAGGACGCCGACATTGCATGGGTGGACACCCGCTTGGCCGAGATCGCGGCCACATCGCCGGACCGCGCGTCGAACCCGCTGGCGTGGATCCGGCCGTTTGAGTTGACGGCACCGCCGGCGTACAGCGCACCGAGCCAACTGCCAGTGGTCGGCAACCCGCAGACGGACGCGCTTTTGGCGCTGCTGAAGCTCCCGCACGTCGTGACGGTACCGTATGTGCCCGTGGGCGCGCCGCCCGCTGACCCAAATGCGATCGAACTCGATGATATTGAGGAGGTGGCTGCGCCCGTCGCAGTTGTGGAAGATCCGAACGCGCTCGACATTGATGATCTTTAATAAACACGCATGGTGATGCTGCAAGCACGTCGTTTGTAGCAACTCATACTTGCGTCAACCGCTGCGCACGGATCATGGATCATAGTACTGTACCGTGCAGCCGACGACTAACGCATCGTAGCGTCAGTGTCACGCGATTCTAAGGCACACTCGGTATTGCCCGGTACGTCATCATCAAGTATCGAGCTCTAAGCTTACTAGGTATTGAGGGCTTGGTCATCACGCAGCGTCGGTATATGCATGCAAATAAGATCTCATGGCGCTTGCAGCTATGGTATCATGTCGTCGTCGCCTTTACAAATGACGTTGTTTGCTTCGACGACACGACGCCTCTAGGTGCGACGACTACCGGTACGTGTTCCGCTATGTGCGGTAGGACACTCGGGGGTGCGAGAGAAGGCCCGAACGCCGAGCACGCCAACTCGACACCCACTCCGTGAGAAGGTTTCTGCATCGCATCATGGCGCACGTGCGATACCAATACACGCGAGGTCGAGGATGCTTTTGTGCTTGTCTCTGTGCCGCAAAAGACACTTGTGGGTGAGATGGAATACCGGTAGTACAGACCCGCAACCGTGTGTACTCTCTATCGATCGACATGACATCAGTGCGACACGGGTCATCGCAGAAGCGACGATACATCATGGCCATCATGGCGGCGTTGCTTCCAGCACTCTTGCTCAGAAGCGCCATGGATCCTGCGTTCGACACTCGGCCTATTCCGCTGCCGAACGTGGACAGGCGCGCCAAGTTGCCGTTTCGGAGGTGACGGGGCACCACCAAATGGCAGCGGAATAAATCAAGTAATCACTTGGGTTTGGCACCCAGCGTGGGATTCGTTTCCGAGCACAGTGGGCGTCGCCAGCAGAGCCCTTTCTATACACAGCGAACGGCACGGCGATCGTGAAACACAGGGGGTCCTCTCTCGCCGAGCTTGTCGGCGCCACCACATATACTTGCACGTCCAAGAAGCCGGTCTTTCGATATTACTGTACGACACATTCGTTCACGCTGGCTTCTGCTCGTACCACAGGATTCGTCGCCCATTAGTTGCGTTTAGTTTACACAAGCAGAGTGGCACTACGACGCGGGCGCCGAACAGGATGGCCAGCTGGGCGTACCACGCTTGCCGTGGACGGACCACGTACGCCAGTTGTTCAAGTTATCTACGGCGTTTACCCGCAAAAGGTTCTCAGCCGGCCGCCTCTGTGCCGATCTCCCACAGCCGTCTCGGGATCCCACTCTGGCAACACCATCAACATCGAAGAATCACTTTTCAATCGCCCGCGTTCGCACCACACCACGACCTTTGCAGCTTTGTATGATGTTGGCACTCATGGAGCATCACCACGCGACGACGAGCAGCAATATGCAAGGCGCGGCGTCGCCCTCCAGCGCTACCTTCCACCACGACAATGACGATCTCGATTTCGACCGGCTCAAGATCGACGACGACTTTTGGCGCCGCCTCCTCGCGATCGA